CAAGACCTTCTCTCAAAATAAAAAGGGCATACTGTAGCTTAGTGATAAAGGGCCCCTCAGTTCAATCCCCAGTACTGGAAAAAATAAATAAATATGAACTGTCGCATGGCCAGAGCCCCCAGCCAGCTAGGCCATGTGACCTCCCTCCATGGACGGGCATGGGCATCCAGCCCATCCCAAGGCATGAATTGTTTTGGCCCTGCCACCTAGAGACCCCGGGCCCCCCAGATCCTCCCCCACACGGCAACAGAGACGGCAGCTTTAGAAACCAGGCAAGTTTTAAATATGTTAGCACAATATTATTAACATTAAATATACATTATAAATAAGCCTTATAAATATGAAACTGATTACAAACTGATAAAAAAAAAAATCAATAAATTAGTCACGCCGCTCCAAGGAATCCGCCCAGTGACTTCTGGGACTCCCTCAGGAAGGCCGGTTTCAGCATGAGAAAATTCCACGGTCCACCGCCAGAGGGAGCAGCCAGCTGTGCAGAACCAAGACCGGTGTGCCCCGGGGGCTGGGGGGATCTCCTACAGAGAAAATTCCCTGCATGCACCCACCCCAAGGCTACTTGCACTGTGTGTCCCAACTTTCAGAGAATTTGATGTCCAACTTATATCACAGAGTCCCAGAAACTGCCAGGCAGAGGGAGCCTTAACACAGTATCTGAATTCCTGGCTTCCCAAAGAGAAAACTGAGGTCCAGAGAGGTAAAGTGATCTGCCTGAGGTCACTCAGCAAATTAGGGACAGAGTCGGGACCTGAGCCTTATTCCTCTAGACCCCCAGATCAGTGGTCCTTCTAGAACACACTGCCTCTGCCATAGCTGCCTAAAGTGAGGTCACCCAGATGTCCAGGTGTCTAGCCTGCGTGGCGATGAGGCATAGGAGGCCAGCTCAGGCCCTGACCTCCCCTTGGAGCCCTGCCACCACAGAAAGGAGGAAGTCTGGGGGCAAGAGCCCCACAAGTCATGAGAGGGAAGGGCCTCTGGGGAGTCTGAGGGGGCAGTCAGCCCAGCCATGAGTCAGCTTGTGTCATCAGACCCCTGAATCAATGGAAAGTCGGCCCCTCATGGCCTGACCTGGCTACCCCTCCAGGACTGGGAAACTCGGGCTGGGGGCACGGCAGCCTGGCTCTCCCCGAAGCCCAGCAGAGGTAGAAAGGGCCCTAGCAGCTCCACTTTTTAAAGTGCACTTCTGAGCGGTAGGGGGCAGAGGGAGCAGGTTTGGGAACCCAGGAGGGGACACAGCATCCTCCACCTGCTCCTCGCATCCCTAGAGCACCTGCTGGGTTCTTCACCTGCAGGAGTGCTGTTCAGACTACCGGGACAGCTGCCCCCTGGGCACAGGCTTCTTGACCCTTCTGGAGGGCCTGGCCCTGCGTGCACCCTTGTGCAGGGCCCGGCGGGGGCTGTGTCTCCGGTTACGACTCGGGCTGTCTCCCCACTTCTCGAAGACTTGCTCCACAGAGCCCATGAAGCGGTGGTAGCCACATAGGAGCTGACAGCCCTCCACCTTGGCTTGGAAGGTGTCCTGGGCAGAGGGCCTCAGTGGAGCCTCTGTGCCAGGCAGCGGGGCCTCAGGCGTCTCTGAGCCGTTGGTGAGCAGTTCTGACATGCAGTAGATGTTGTTCCTGACGCCCTGGATGTTCTTCCTGGCCACATGGAACTCTGGCAAGTCCTTGGCCTTCAAGCACTTCTGCTGTAAAACAGCAAGTCTCTGCAGGACGCCGTCCAGCGTGGCGCTGACAGTCTGCAGGAAGGCGAGCCTGCTCAGCGCCGCCAGGGCGTCCTCACTCGGGAAGGCCCCGGAGCACTCCGTGCAGAACCCTCTCAGGACAGGTGTGTCCAGGCCTTGGAGGCGGATCTGGGGGAACAGGAGAATCAGGGGGTGCGTGCTGAAGCCCCCCAACCACACACACAGATGAACCTGCCCTGGCTGCCTTTGAAATACTAGCCCGGACCCATCCCAATCTGATCCTCCCATTGGAGACCTGAGAGATGACAGCACTGGGGTCACGAAGGGAGGGTTAGGAGGGCAGTCGGGGCCTGCATGGGGGGATGTTGGAGGGAGGGGGCTTCGGGAGGGTGGGACCCTGCTCACTGGTACACTGGGCGCTTAGCACAAGGCCCAGGGAAGGTGCCAATAAACATGCAGACAAGCAAGTGGACACGGGACGGAGTTGGGTGCTAGGGAGTCTGCGCTGTGCCCCCGGCTTCTCAGGGTCTCAGTTTCCCCACACTCTACACTGAGTGGGGCCCGGTCCTCCCTGCACTCACTCCCTTGTGACCTCCCTGCCATTCTCGGAGGCTCAGACGTCCCAAGGGGCCCGATGCTCACATAGGGCTCCAGGAGGCAGCTGGTGTCCTTCATGAGGTGCGCCAGGCTCCGGAGCTGGCCGAGGAGCTGCGTGTAAGAGCTGGAGCATCTGCGCATGGCCACTGCCGCCTCTGCCGCCGGGCTCAGGAGCAGGAGTCCGAGGGCCAGACCTGGGGCAGAGAAGGACAGGGTCACCCAACGTGGTGAAGAGCTATAGGTGGGACCCCCGAGAGGGGCTCAAAAGGGCCTTGGCGGGTGCCCCCCCCTTATCCTGGGCTTGGTGCAGTCCAGGGCCGGGGCTGGGCACAGGGCAAGGAGCACAGGAACACCCCTGAGGCTACCATCTCCTTCCCAGGAGTCACTGCCCAGGACCCAAAACGGTTCAGGGGGTGGGTGGCTGCAATCTAACACGCAGGCCTTTGAGTGGAGGCTGCAGTAAGTTGCCAGCCAGGTGTCAGTCTAGCCTGCATCCCAGGCCTAACCTCAGGTGCTGACAGCAGATGGCTTGCGGGAAGGAACTATGTGCAAGACCTCTGGGCTAAAGGCCGGCCACAGCCCCAGGACTTACAGCCACCCTGGGCCCCCTGTAACAGACCCTGGGCCCCCACATAAGTATACTTGGGAAGGGTTTGGGGCAGCAGCCCCAAGCAATGGGGTGGTCTGAGCTCTGTGCACCAATCCAGCAAAAGCCAGGAGGATCCACTTTTCCTCCCAAAGGGCCAGTATGGTGAGAACACAGGAGCTCATCCAGCACGTGTGCCCATTTTGCTGACAAATAAACCAAGTCCCAGGAGAACAGCTTGCCCTGATCACAAGAAGCCAGCCCTCCCCACTCTCCAGCCTTCCTCCTATCTCTATAAGTGGCCTCTTCTTTCAGGGGCCCTGGGACTGCCGTGATCCTATAGAAAGGTTTCAGGGGGCTAGCGAGGTCGCAGCTCGCTGTTCCCCGCCCCCACAGGCTCCAGCAGCCACGTGGTCGGAAAGGGCCTGTGGCGCAATGGCCCGGAAGGCAGTGACACCATCCTTCCCTTCCTACCAACCGCGCGGCCCCTAGGGGAGGACCCGCTGCTGGGAAGAGCGGAGGGGCAGGGCGCCCCGGCGTGCCAACCACAGGCACCCTTGCCACTTCCCCAGGTGTCTCCGGTCAGGCTTTGGGAGGGGGACCCACAGCACGTGTGTGACAGCAGTTACACGGGACCAGGCGTTGGCAGGTATGTGTGAGCGGACCCACGGGAGCCACCGGGGAGCCCCTGGCCTGACCGCCTGGGGCCTGGCTTCAGGTGAGGCTTCCCACGTTGGTGAGAGTGAGGGCTCCAGATGATGTCACAGGGCCCTGTGCACCTGTCACCACGTGGGTGTGGCTCTACATGACTGTGGGCTCCACGGCTCCTACGCCTGGCTGACTTTCCATCCTAGACCCCTGTCTGCAAATCAAATCGGGCCAAGAAAGAACCCCTGTCTGCACACACATCCATTGCCTCACTTCCCTGCCCAGCCGGCCACTTCCTGCCCCGCCCCACACTTCTTCCACCTGCCTCCTGCCTGCGGCCTCTTCCCATCCCTCCTCTCCCTCGCCCTGGTGTCCCGGAGTTGTCTCTACTTCCCCTCCCCCAGAAGCCTTCTGGGTAGCTCCTGTCTGCACCCGCAGGGATGCCGGGCTCTCAGCAGACCCCCTCCGCTCCTCGCCAGGCTCCCCTCTCTGTCCTCTTCCCAGCATCCTTCTGCCCAGGGCCCGGCTGACCCGGGTCCTGGAGGGGAGGGCGCCCTGTTCCGAGCTGGTGCCCTGGGCACAGCACGAGGGTGCTGGCCCGGAGGAAGGAAGTACTCACTGAGCAGCGGCCTCCGTGTGCGCTGTGCCCGCATGCTGGGTGCCCGCATGCTGGGTGCCCGCGCTCTGGCCCGTGCCTGCTGGGGGTGATACCTCCAAGCTGGGAGTCCCGCGGGCTGGCAGCCACTTTATGCCCGCTGGGGCGATTGGCCAACACCTCGTGAGGTGGGTGGGGAGGGGGGAGGGCAGGCCTTCTGGGAACATGACCCCAAAAACCAAAGTTTCCACGGGCGGCCAATGGGCATGCCCGCTCCTCCTCCTGTTTTCTTCGAATTCGTTCTTCGAGGTCAGCCCCACGCCCAAGGATGATGCAAACCGCAGCTCAGGCTTCTTGGGGCGAGTGGGGAGCAGGGGTGCTGTGCCATCGTCAGGGGGCTGTTCCCAGGGCAGGAGGCAGGGACCGAGGGCCAGGCGTCTGGAGGCCTCCGGCCAGCCATGGTCCAGGAGCCCTCTGCCCGGCAGGACACCGGCGAGGTTTGGGCCGAGGGGAGCAGCCCATCTTCCTCGTTGGACTCCCTTCCTGCCCTCTCGCTGGGGCTGTTGGTACATCTGTGAGCGGAAACCACCGAGCCCTGGGCACAGAGCCAGGCCAGACCCAGGCTGGCAGCCCCGAGATTGTGGTTCTAGCCCCAGGACGAGCATCCCCCAGCCAGACTGCCCCATCTCCATTCCCACATCAGCTACCCCACCAGGCTCCCATGCCAGGCCAAGTGCCCACCGCCACATCCATTCTCTGAGGCAGGGCCCTCTGAGGAGAACTGGCAAGTCCTGTGAGCAAAAGAAGCAAGAGATGGGTTCATATGCCTTTTGACATGCTGTGTGGCCTGAAGCAAGTCACTTAACCTCTCTGGGCCCGGGAAGCCCCACCTGGAAAAAAAAAAAGGAAGAGAAAAGCATTTCCTAGGCCACCTCATGGGGCTGGTGCTATCATGGACATAAAAGGTAAAAGTCCTGAGAATGAAAAATACAAGACGAAACTGTAATTCCAAGTACTAGCTGTCGAGGGTGGGATGAGGGGCGGAGGAGATGGGGAAGCTGTGAGCTCAGAGGGGAAGCCTGGGCCGGGGAGCTGCCGCCCTGGCGGTTGGTGACAAGGTTTCACTTTCTCTGAAAGATAGCAATCGTGGGCTGGTCCCTGCGTCTCTAAGCCAAAGGCATCAGAAGAGACCTTGGAAACAGCGCCTCCCTGCTACTTCACTGGGGTAAACTGAGGCATGGGGACCCGTGGACAAGGAGGTGTGGGGCTGGCTGAGGCCTACAGGAGCTGCCTGACAGCTCCAGCACATCCTCCAGGTGCGGAAGCTGAGACTGGGGCCGCTTTGAGCCAGGGGAGCCAGCAGGGAGCTCAGATGCAGCCAGACCAGAGCTGCTCCCACCAGCTCTGCAGACCTGGCCCCCATTCATGTAGTCATTCAACAAACCAGCTAAGGCCCAGCCACTCCCAGGCGCTAAAGATCCCACAGTAGGAAAACCAGCCGAGCTCCGGATCCAGGTGGCTTCTCCACGCCCCCGGCTGCCCCTGCATGCGGTGTAGCACCCGCTGTGTGAAGCCCGACACCACACCTTCCCCGCCCCCTGGCCCAGTTCTGGATTCTCATCCTCAGAATGCCACTTCCACTGAATTCCTCATCTCTGCTCACCCCCGCTGTGGTGCTTTCTGGGGCCCCGGCCAAGCGGGGATCCTTCTTCCTTTCACATCCCTGATCTCATCTGGGAGAGAGATGCCTCCTCTCACTTCACTGACGAGGTGAAGCCCCCGGAAGTCCGGAGGCTGGTGCAGGGCAGGAGAGCCAGGTCCAGCCGCAGAGCTCCTGCCCCTCTTGGCCATTGCTGCCAGGCCATGAGGCTTGGGGACGGTCACACGCCTTCACCTTGTTCTGTCCTCCCAGAGACCAAACGGCTGTGTTGTCTCCTGGGTTTAAAAGGCCTCAAGAGGTACAGAGAGGGAAGATTACCCATCCCTCAGGCTGCACAGCAGTTAAGACAGCACGGCCGCTGAACCTGTCTAATCTGAAGGACTGCATTCTGATTACCACAGGACTGATCAGAGTGCTGAGTGGGCCCCGAGGACCACTGTCAGTCAGCAAAGGCAAGCGTCGTTTGCACATGCGTTTGCTGGAGCTGGAATAAAGCAGTTACAGTTGTCCCATGACAATCACAGGGATGGGTTCAGCCTCCCCCGGGAGATGCGTCTCTTACACAAAATGATGTAGCATTTGCATAGACTTGTCCAATCTGCTGCCCTCAGACCATTTACTTTCTGGGTTTGTTTTTTGTGTTGTTTTTTTTTTTTTTTTAATAATCTTTAGGTTTTTTAGTTTATTGAGACAAGTTCTTACTCTGTAGCCCAAGCTGGCTTTGAACTCACTATGTAGCCCAGGCTGGCCTCAAACTCATGCCCAGCTTACCCTCTGTTTTTTAATGTTATAAGTATAAAATATTTAGAAATAGCCAGGTGTGGTGGTACATTCATGCAATCCCAGCACTATGGGAGGCTGGGGCAGGAAGGTCACAAGTTTGCACCCAGCCTGGACAACTTAGCGTCATATTGAGACCCTGTTACAAGGTAAAAAGTAAAAGGGCTGTGGATGTAGCTCTGTGAGAAGACCCTAGGTTCAGCCCCAGCACCATCAACAATAAATACTGATAGGAAATTTTGCTATTGTTAAGTGTGTTATATGTTTTATATGTGGTCCAAGACAGTTCTTCACTCAGCGTGGCCCAGGCGAGCTGAAAAGTTTGGCAACCGTGATCCTAATTCACCTCCAGGTTGCTTCCAATGCTTAATGCACAGCCAGTGCTCTATGAGTGGTGGTTATACTGCATTGCTCAGGAAGTGATGGCAAGGGGGCAAAGGCGTGTACTCGTCCAGTGCAGGTGAAGCCATCAGAGGCCTAACTATATTTCCAGTTTGCAGGAGGGTGAATCGGCAGGTGCAGGGTCCGCAGACACCGAGGGCTGCCGACGCCACAGGCTGGGAGGATTCAGGAACAAAATTTATTTTTATTTTCTCACAGTTTTGGAGGCCAGAAGTCTGAGATGGAGGTGGCAGTGGGCTTGGTTCTTTCTGAGACTTCGCTCTTTGGCGTGTAGATGGCCTCGGCTTGCTGTGTCTTCACACGGGCATCACTGGTCTGTGAGCTGTCCGTGTCCTCTCTTTGGATGAGGACAGCGGTCACAAGGATTAGGTTGCACCCAAAGGCTTCATTTTATCTTAATCACTTCTTCTTGGAAGGCCCTATCTCCAAATCTGATTGCATGCACGGATGCAGGGGATCAGGAATTACACACAGGGCTTTGAGGAAGACAGGAATCAGCCCACGGGAGCTTGCTGGCGGGAGGGCTGCAGGACGTGGGGACATGGGTGGAGGGCCGGGGGGCTGCACAGGAGGACGGGGAGTGGCCAGTGGCCGAAGGTGCCGAGGCCCGGCCTCTTGGCCATCGGGGCGGACGGTGAAGGAAGATGCGTCAGCGTTTCTGGTGAGGTCAGCGCTCAGTGACGTCCCTCTCGCCAGCAGGAAAGGCTTGCAACACGGCCCGGCCAGTATAAATAGGACCCAACCACAGGACCGGGCTGTCCCCCTTTCTGAGCCACGTCAGCTCGCCCCGCGTGATTCGGAGAGGAAGAGGACCCGCTGGGTTCCTCAGAACTGCTGTTCTTCAGCCTCCCTGGCCCACTAGCCTCTGGAGGTGGGAGCCCCGCTGCTTGAAATGCAAGGACAGGGCCTGTGGTGGCTCAGGGTAGGAGGCCTAATCCACCAGGTGGAGAGAAGGTGCCACTCCCCAGTGTGGGCACAAGCATCAGTTCCAGTCTTAATCTGCTTGGGATCCGATGCCTTTGACCCAGTCACATCCCCTTTCTGAGCCTCAGTTTCCCCTACATAAACTGAAGTGACACAACAATAAGAGACAATCCAAGCCTTATTCACGGTGGTGCATGACTTTAATCCCAGCACTTAGGAGGCTGAGGCAGGAGGATCGCCATGAGTTTGAGGCCAGTTTGGGTAGCATAGTGAGTTCAAGGCCAGACTGAATTGCATAGCAAGACCCTGTTTCAATCAATCAGTCAATAAAGGTAAAAAGAATTAGAATAAGCATTTCTCCAAAATAAAATCAGACAGATGGCCAAAAAGCATGTGAAAAGATCTTAGGAGCCAGACTCAGTAGCACAACCTGTAATCCCAGCTACTCAGGAAGCTGAGCCAAGAGGATCACAGGTTCAAGTCCAGCATGAGCAACTTAGAGATCCTATCTCAAAATCAAGTTTGAAAATGCTGGGAAAAGCTGGGCATGGTGGCGCACCCCTGTAATCCCAGCACTCGGGAGGCTGAGGCAAGAGGATCCTTGCAACTTCAAGACCAGCCTGGGCTACAAAGTGA